TTATAGATGTCTCTGCAATGTGGTCTCTTGTCTTCCTTGTATTATTTTTCATGTCCACTAGATGGCGATCGGTAGGATTAAAGCACTGATATTCAGGATCTAGTCATCTTGAAAAATCGTAATCTGGATCAGGCTGATCCTATCCTGAATTGCTTTGAACTCCAGGGACAAAATCTGGCCGATTTGTTTGATCCTGGATCACAAAAAATGGGATTTCAAAATCGGATCGGATCTGATTGAGATTAAAAGTTTTGAACTCCTGGGCCCTGAAGAGGAGTACCGAAGCGCTTATTATAGGTTAAAGGTTATTATACTGCAGAAGGAGTTTTTACCAGTTATTAAATCCAAAGGTTCGCTTACTTTTTCCACCAGTGAAATGGGCGTGTTCAATTAAGACATTTCATATTCTAAATGTTTATGTGTTATTAGTTTAAGCACATTGTGTTTGTCTATACTTGTGACTTAAAATAAGAATCACAATTAATGCCCAATTCATGAATAAAACCAGAAAATGTGCAAATGCAAAGGGTTCACTTTTTCCTGCCTTTAGGTCCAACAAACAACCACAACCACACTGGTCTCACCGTGGCTTCACAGCCCTGCCCTCCGAAGCCGTTGCTGCTGGACAACAAGTAGTGTCCATTTGGAGACACGTCACAGTGGGTCTGGATGTATTGCTTGGCAGGAAAAGTGTTGGTCACCTGCCATGCACGGCTATCCCACACTCTGTGCACACACAAAAACAAACACAATATTTGTTTGCATCATAACTTATTGAATTAATACAGAGACAAAATTCAATCAAATAATGCCAAATGCAAGGTGATGAAGTGTCAAGTATATACTGCTTAAATACATTGCAGGCTCTATCCAACTAATTGAATGAGAAAGAGAATGTGTTTCTATTGTGGCACGATCTGATGATAACTGTATTTATAAAAAGAGAAAACACGTCTTCTATTTACATCTGTATAATTATGACATCTTAGTTTTACAGTTTACAATGCATGGCGTCTCCTCACAAACAGTGGTCTTCATGAGGTGATGTCAGGGGTTTAAGGAGGTTAAGTGTAAGACAGTTATACAAGTAGATATTGTGACCTTTTAGTGAATAATTGTAGTGTATGACATCACCATTTGCAAACAAAGTGGATTTCTAATGAACGATCTTCCCAGATGGCATATTTTCTTCTACAGTAATATAGTTGGAGTAGCAAGTCTGTCTGTACCTTATGATCTTATCCTCAGAGGTCTGGACTACAGAGGAGCTGCCTGGCACCCAGCAAACATGAGTCACCTGGCCAGAGGAGAGAGGACAATGGAAAAGTGTAAATCCTGCAGGGCATGAACTCAGGAGGAACAGTCAGATTTAATAGCTTTTTGATTCTTCTTCTGTCATGTTCAGGTACACACCTCAGGGGACCCAGCGTGCTTGAAACAATTCATAGTACATGGTTATGTACACAAAAGCATATACTGTTTTTCTCACCAGGTTTCTAGAAACATTCTGTCTCTGTTCACATTTTGCAGATTCTATATCCCACAGGCACATCCAGTTGTCACGAGAACCAGTACACAGCTTTCTCCCTTCTACAAACCAACAAAAAACACAATTCAATTTGATCAGTGCAGATCAGGAAAGGAAGAGTTACTAAGTTGCAATCTACATCAACATCTGACCAAAATGAATCACTTCCATCATTTTATTCAATTATACATTTCTGTAAAAGCTACATAATAAGCAGATGCTCTTTTGAGTTATGGTTAAAGTGTTTTATGAGCTCACAGGCACTTCTTAAGACCAAATTTGAAGAAATCTCTTTACTCAGATATCGCATTTACGAGTAAAAGACGTGCGTGTTTGTGCGTGTGTGTGCGTGTGTGTGTGTGTGTGTGTGTGTGTGTGTGCATACCAGGACTGATAGCTAGTCCATTGACCACCAACTCATGCCCACAAAATTCCTGGATAGGTTCGTCCCCCTGGTTTAGGTCCCACATCAGGACAGTCTTGTCCCGTGAGGCACTAAAGATCCATGTGCTCCCTGGATAACACACCACCTGGCAGGTAGAGGGAGGCAGAGTCAAGAGGAGAAGATGTGTCACAGTTCTGAACAGCGTCACACCTTTATCAGCTTGTGCACACATAGTATTGACGTTACCTTGGTAACCTCTCGGTTGTGACCCTGAAAGGTCTGACACATCCGGCCTTGCTTCCAGTCATACACCACCACAGCCTACAGGAGCAGACACGCACAGACATATTGGCACACAAGAATCACATATTTTTCCACATCATGTTAAATGGCAACATTTAAGAGAGTTTCTATCCAAAGTACGTCACAAGTTTCACAACATCATATATCCTTTTGAGCCACACCAAATACAAAAGCTAGCAGATAGGGGGCTGCCGGCCGGACCATCAGGAGCAATTTGTGCTTCAACATGGAGTAGGACGGGATAACACTGACAGCCTTGTGATCCATGACACTGATTATACCATCTTAATAAAAATGTGAATGGTGCATTTCCAGTTGTTTTAGGAATCAGTCATTATAATTATCTTTAAACTGGTACACTGGTTTATTTATTACCCTAAAGTCTGAATAAAGACATTACCAACTTTGTATTATTTGGGATACATCTAGTACATAGAATTATGTACCTGGTCACTTCCACCGGAAACACAGAGCTCTGGGCTCAGGTTGGTGACGGTGTTGGTGGAACCTTTATGGGCAGGTTCGTACTGCACCACCTTGCTGTCAAAGGTAGTTTCTGACTTCTCCACCTGAGTTGTCCTGCACATAAAACACCAATAGAATAAGGGAATCACAAATGTTTTATAATTATATATATATATATATTCAGCCACAATTCTTAGCTTGTGGTATCTCCATCTCTATTATAATCATCATCATTAGCTTCCTTTACAACCTACAATCTGCTTAAGAAGAATTATTGAGATGATTGCAATGACCTTTACCAGATTTGTTAATGACATGTCCCACGTAAACACATACGTATAATGTAATACACTGTGTGCAAAAGTATCCTCTTGATATAGCACATTATAAAACGTAGCTTCTTGGTAATCATACCCGCTATCAAAAAGATGAGTAAACTTTACAGACAGCAACTTTTATTTCCAAAGAATGTATGTAGGTATGTACATAAACTCTGGTTCTAATTAGTATGTAGTATACAGTACAAGTACACAGAACCTTTTTATAATAGTTCACACGTCTCACCTGTAGATCTCTGACCTCTTGCGAAACTTGCTCTGTAGTTTGCCCATGCCTGCTAGGAACCTACAGCCACACTGATCCACAGAAAGAAATACTATCAAATTAGAACAAACATCATGATTTAACCTTAGCTGGACTAAAGAAAGTGGTGATGATTTGGGGCAATGGATCAAACCACACAGAAACCTTAAGATCAAACTTCAAGTGTAACATTGCTATGGCTAAAATCATATAGTATTTAAGTTCGAAACTTCAATGCTTAGACAAGGGCATTGCTTGCTTCACATGCACTATAGGCCAATCAATTATGTAAAACGACTTAAGACTCAACCACATAAATCACACACCCAAATGTAGTAAGAAACAGCCTCTTTCTGATAATTGCATTGCATAAAAGTGAGACGGACCAGTAAAGTGAAGTTAAAATGCACGTCCTCGCGCAAACACTACTTTCTTTCACAGAAAGACATGCACATGTAAACTAAGCTCCTTCTTCGTTATCCTGGCGTACTCCTCAAACAATCGACAGGAAGGAGAGGGCTCAAATCCTATTAGAGCCGCATCATTACTGTCACAAGGAATTAGTCGCTCGAAAACACCTGCTGTAAACTGTGCTGGTAAACATTACGTCACAACTACGATTTTAACCGTAATTACTTATGGTGAAATTGTTAATGGCTCGCCATTGTAACGTCCCAAAATCCTGCAGATGAGTTACTTAAGATTTCTTACCTGGCAGGTGTGGTCGCTGTGTGTTGCTGAGGCTGTGTGGCTAGCTCGCTAGCATGCTAACTAATCTTTATCAGTCATGCCAAGACAGATTAAAGTACTAGCAGCAACCGAAAGTGTATATGCAAACGTTAGCACGGTTTAAAGTGGTTGTCGCAACAACCGAGAAGCATGTACCATAGACTGCCATGACAGTAATTTGACCTAACACCGTGGGAAAGTACAGTTTTTTTAACTACAACAGACCCATCCCTCTCTCCGTAGCGACAGTGGAGCAGCGACGCTTTGCTCGTATCTAGGCGAGGGCTTGATCACGTGACACGAGGAAGGAAGTGACCGAAAGCGGTCCCTTACAAAATAAAAGTCTGATTTACCTTGCAATAAATGTGCACATTTTTGCTGGCCATGCTTCTCAGGTGAAATAACTCATGTGCACACCACACTATTTATAATGACTCTATGTACATCCGTTGGTACTTTCACGTAGCATTGTAATAAATTAAACACATTCACAAATGAGAACCAGTGAGTGCAAAATAATTGTTGTTTTCAAAAACAGTATAGCCTATGACCGCTGCCTATGACCCACTTCAAGGTTCATGCAATCATCAGTTGCAACAACTAGGCAGGGACACATGAGGCTCAACCAGTCTATGGGCTCAACCAACAAAATATGACATTTAAAATGTGCAGGGTTTTATGACAAATAAACTGGGATGATACCATTTTCAGCTAACATAATACATTAGTTTAACTGGAATCTTTACTTTTACCAAGATTTTGGACAGTACACGACAGATTTATAAATATTACTGACATGTGGCTGGTTTTCCCTCTACAGAGCTTGTTGGTTGACTTTTATTACCGTCACATGTCGAATGACTCCCCAAACTAGAAATATGGGACCAATTAGGCAGGTCCCAGGACAGCTAACATTAATTGCGCACAAATTGTTTTCTTCATGTAACATTTTCATGTAGGCTACTTCATTGTGGCTCAGATCTATCTATCGAATAAAAGCTATGAAGACAATTGCTTGCAATTCACTATTAAGAGGCTCTGGCTTGATGATGATTTACCTTACTGTCGCCCTGACTTATCGTATGACATCGTACATTTCCTCTGTGTGACAAATAAAGGTATTCTGATTCTGCTCTGACTTGCAAAGATTTATGTCACACACTAATGAAAGCACTGAAAGTATGCAGTAGTAATGTTTATCGTTGTTATGGTGCAGTTCCGAACAATCTTGAACTTTGCCCTGCAAATGCCCATCTGTATAGCAAAGCAGTGCTTAAATGATTTGAATTTGATGCAGCATTACAGAAGGAACACAGCATGTGACAGATCTGTCACAAAAAAAGCTGGCAAAACAAAGCTGGCAAGTTTTCAGGCAGGCCTCAAAAATAAAAAGCTTTTAAACCAAAACTGGCCTGAAAAGAACACTCACTAGCCGTGGTTCTGGACATTAATATGACAGGGATCCAAAGTACAAATTAAGTATGTTACTTGGGACCCAGACTTATTACTGTTTTGATTAGTTTGGCACAGAGAAGTCCCCTGAAAGCCCAGGAGCCACGTAAAGCCCCCAAACTAAACAACTCACACAATAGTGTTGTGTTATAACATGATTGACTGACAATGAGTGGATAATGATATCCAATTATTGAGTTGTGGAAAAGGCAGAAGTAAAAAGGACACTGATTTACTGATAACATCAATGGCCCATGCTGGCAACAGAGGAGATGATCATAATGGAACAACTGTGGATATGTGATATGGCCTCCAACATCCATCTATCCATTCATCCACTTATAATTTCATCAATTATGTGTGGGCCTTTTGTTAGAATAATGTGACTAACAACTGTAACGACTGTAACTGTGTTACTATCCAGTTGGTTAAAGGCATAATGCACAGAGGATATAATTATCTTATTTTATTGTTTTATGACTATAGGCCTACTTACATATTTATTTATAAGGTACATTAGGTATCTCTCCTGCACAATGTTCAAGCTTTTCTTTTCCGTCTGTCTTTATGTTCATGACATTGTAAGATATAAAGGTTGGAAAGGATGTAATGGGCATTTGTAATGCAACTGCTCTGCAATAAAAAGCCAATTTACTAAATGTAGCCCTAAACTGATTTTATTGAGATAAATACTTTTTATTTTGAGGCTATCTTCATAAAGTCAATCCAAAACAATACTAACAAACAAATAGATAAAGGAATATTTACTGGCCTGCATACAGATGTATTTGTAATTGTCACCACGATGCTATTTTAACTCCACTAGGTGTTAACCTCGCAATGGGAAACAGATGAATTTGTTGTAAAAATTAATCGTCATATTTAAGAACATCTACAGTCTATATGTGACGACTCCACTAAGTCAGCACAACAACTGAGTTGTCCACTATTACGCCCACGCCCATAGAGAAAAGGGTTCAGCTTCTCCACTCATACACATTTTCTCTTCCACAGATTGGGGTGTATAAATACTTGTGTGGCGTTTGTTTGACGTGACACTCCCCCTTGTCGATATGAGGCCGACGTCACCCTGCCAGCGGAGGAGTGGATGGCCTCTGTAATAAAAACACATGAAGAGAATTGAGGAAAAGGAGAAGATTGGCCGGGGGAAAAGCAACACGGCGGTTTTCGCTTTCTTCACCCTTCTGATGAGCCATGGACGTGAACGCCTCTTAAAACAAACGGGGATATGCTGGTCGCGGCATCGACAGTTCCAGCTGAAATGCCATGTTATGTGTGGCTTTCATGTTTTTTTTGAGCAGACAGCGAGAGATAACTGTACTGTATCCCAGCCTAGCGGATTGGAGTGAAAGTCCGCCATATTCTGCGTTACCACGCCCGGGAGTCGAGCCGTTGGAAAATAAACGGACAGCTTTATTCATGTGTTTTCCCCGTTGCTTTCACCCACGGACGATTACTTGAACACATTGGTTGTGTTGATTGAAAAATAACAACATTGAAGACTTTGAAGAGAGGTGGCAGGGCACGGATGGCAATGCTTAACGAGATCACACCGAGCAGTATTGAGGATGTGTCTTAAAATGATCTGTTGATCATATTGAGAAGGAAAAGCCGATTACACCAATTAAGATTGAACAGATATTCAACCCAAACTGCTTTGGACACTATTTTGAAGCTCACGGGAAGCCCAGAAAGCGAACCGAAACGGGGTGTCAATAATTTCTAAACTATAACAATTTCCTTTCCACCACAATCTGCGCTTTTCTGGCTCATTATAAGGGCGTCCACGCGTTATTCACCACACGCAGGCCTGTATGAGGACGTTATTTGGGGATCACAGGCCTCTGCTTTTTACATTTTTCACCCCGACGCATTTGAAATCTGAATGAATCAGTAAGAGGGAAAAGTGCGTGTTTGAAAAAAGGAGAGAGAATGACACTGGAATCCATAATGGCGTGTTGCCTCAGCGAGGAGGGGAAGGAAGCCAGGCGGATCAACGACGAGATCGAGAGGCAGCTCCGCCGGGACAAGAGGGACGCACGCCGGGAGCTGAAACTGTTGCTTCTGGGTAAGCTCGGAGGGGATAAACAAGGGGAGGGAGAGGAGTGGGGAGAGAGATGCAAAGCCCAAATTCCTCTCACCAAATAACTCTGTCTGCTAAGGGGAGGGGATGGGGGGGGGCCGTGGGGGTCTAATAATGGGGGTCTAATAATGGGGCTTCCCACCTGAGTGAAGTTGGGTGTTGAAATCCCTCGGTGTTGTGAGTCGAGTGCACAGATTGGCAAATCAGCAGAGGGAGGAGATGCTTCCCAGCCAGGCCTGTAGCGTTCTCAGCGTAAAACCAGCTGATTTGAATAACTGTGACCGGCTAGGAAACAAATGTGTCTACCATGGGTCTCACACTCTTACCTCTCAATGCATTCACTGGCCTGAAAGCCACCTGTGCAGCCAGGCCTCCAGGGCCCCTCCAGGTGGTGTGCCTGCAAGTGTGTCAAACATGGCAGGGCCAAAGTCTAGCGTTTTATTGGGAGTAATCAAGGCAGTGTTGCAGCTTAACACCTAACCCTGGCAGTGATTATATCACAGGTGCAAGTGTACGGAGCAAGGTCGACATCTTATAAATATAACAAGAGGCTTGTGTGATGGTATGCTCATGCACCCACCTTCTTATACATGAATGCATTTGAATGAATCTCAAATTAATTGAATCACCATTCAAAATCATGCAACTGTAGCAGAGACACACAAGTTTGAAAAGTCTTGGTGTGCCATAAACGCCTTATCTTATGGTAACTATGCATTTCTACAGTGTAGACTTGTGATATGGAGCGGCTGTTAATCATGCCAAGAAGTATTAGTCATATTGGAGACAGTTGAGGAAAACAAGTCATCTACTCACCATCCAGTTTTAAATTAGATTTGCAACGAAAAGCCCATTAGTTGTGATGACTGTGGTTGTTGAGAGCGGTGCGAGAAACCTCTCTTCCTGTTCCTCCTATTCCCTCTGAAAATGCATGGAGGAGAAGGTGGTGGAATAGGCTAGCATTTAACCTTACATTACCCAGGCTACTTTCTGAAGAAGACGTGCAAGGCTTTTGCCTCGTTAGGCATGTTTTAGCATAGGTTTGCCCTCCTGTTAGTACGCAACGATAAAAATGAATCCCTCTTAACAGGGTTTGAAGGAGTTGCTGACTGCCAACTCCCTATATAGACAAATAATTGAGTTGTTGTTTTCACCTAATCTCCTTAAATTCCCAGTAATTCGTCTATTACGCAAACAGCCAATGACCTCAACCAAAAAGTATGAAAGTTTGAGGATGTAACTATAGTTCTCATAAGACATATGTTTTTTATTCAATGACAAATCATTATTCTCCTGATACAAAACATTTGATGGCTCAGACCAAATTAATAAGGATTCTTAATCAGTAGGTATTTTTTATATATTTTTTGGATAAGTTGCTTATATTTCAGTTTATTACAATACATTTTGAATATTGAGCAGAGTAAATGGTTTCCAGTAATGATGAACCGTATGCGTGATGTCACACCAACATGCTCGTGTCTGAGCTCTTAAAACAATTAGGACCACCACTCCCAGTAGTTAACCAGAAGAAATGATGCTTGCTCTTTATGGCTCCATTAACCCATATGCTGTATTGTGGGTTTTCAAACTCACTAATTGCTTAAAGCCTCCTGGGATCCAGCACAAATCTCTCCTGTCAATTTCAGAAGTTTTCAATTTCTTAACTTTTTAAACATTACAAGCCTGTTATCCAGCCTCCCTGTGCACCAATATCTATTGAGGCATTGTATAATAGTAATGGAGTTGTATTGAAACTGTCACTTGTCACTCAGTTAAGCTGTCAAAACTAGTGACTGAGTGGAAGAGTAGCTGAAGCAAGAGGAGAGAGTGTTTAATAGTGTAGAGCTTTCCATCACAAACAAACAAGAGAAACACCTGTTCATGAGTCAGAGATAATACATTCACTAACAAAGGTGATTTAGGAAAAGTCCAGCTAACATTAATTGTCCATTAAAGAAGAATGAGGCAGGGCATGTCGATAAGAGCCAACTGAAAAAGATCCCTATCAGCAAAATATGAACATTACATTACACATTAATTGAAAATAAAACTACTCATAATCTTTTTTACAAAGAAATAAAACAAAAAAGTGTTTTTTCCACCTGTTAATGCTCAAGGCTTCATGTAAATCAACAAGACTAACAACTTTTCCACACAATGCACTCTGCCAAAACCTAGCTGTATTAACACATTTTCAGATTTTTGGATATTTTGCAATTTATACCAACCTTGCCAAAAGATTAATATTAAAAAGTGAGAAAAATAACGTAACTCAGCGGACATCTTGACTTGTCAAACACAGACCAATACCATTGGTTATTGCTGCATTGCAGTGCAACCTGCGCTCATCTTAGTATGTCTGCTCTGAAAGACGTTTGATTCATTTGGGAACTTAAGGCCAGCTAGAATAAGGTTATCCAGAATTATCCAGTAAATGCTGAATAAAAAGAAGCTTTCAAAAGCATGCATGACAGCAAAAGTTATTGAACCACTGCCACAGAACATTTGAGTCAAACGTACTTCCAGCAAAACTGTTCCTGAACAGCAGCCAGAGCAGTAACCGTAATGTGGGCCCACCTCCAAACAAAGTTTCAATTTGTCAGATTAAAGTGCTGCATATAACATCAAGAGCCAGATAAGACCTTTAATACATTTGTGTCAGAGAAATGAGACTGCTGTTGAGACAGATCCTCCCACATTTAGAATTTTTCTTTAGGACAAAAGTCTGCACAAGTGAACTCACTTCTTTTCCAATTGAGGCTACACTGGAGGCGGAGCGGACAATGCTTAGAGGGCACTTGACTAGTTGTTGGGATAAAGAAGAGCACTTCTCCTTTACTTTACAAACCATCTGAAATGTACCGGCGATAAGGACATTCAGCTTGACCTTGTTTGTTATGGTGAAAATGATAAATACCACTAGACTTAGACTGTTGTATTGTCTTGAAATTATTAGTAAAGTTACTCTTTTAAATTACATTAGGTGAAGAGATGTAAACTGACGGGGAAGAAGGTAGAAAGGCTCCATTGCAGTAGCTGAGATTCCAAACCTTTGCAGTAATGGGAAGTTCAAGATGAATGGGGAAGAGAGTAAAGCAGCAGCATGAGAATGGTGACATAGTGTCTGGAGACTTTAAAGTCATAGGTCCATGTTTTTTATCTTTTTGCACATAGCTGCTCACTGCAAGCATTTGGATGCTGACCATCCTCCATATGTTTTAGACTAGAGGGATATACTGTTTTCCAGGCTGCTATCTTTATTTAGTTGGTTTTGTATAAAAGGCATTTCTGTGGATGGCTACCAATCGAATCAGTGAATATTCTAGAATGTTTGTTGATGTATATTGAGGTAATAGCTGTTACAACTATAGTAATTGGAACTCCTTTCAGTGAGCTTATAGTGCAACCCAATTTAAAGGATGCTCTGTCATCTAGAAAAAAGTCCAATGATCAACTGACCAACAATACCCTTGATCTCTCGACGTCTGTGTAAGGGCTGTGTGTTTCATGAATACAATATTTGTAATTAGAAATACTTTGCCTCACTTGAGCATGTTTACTGAACATACACAACACACTGAACTGAAACTACTAAAAGAGAACATGCAGGGTGTAGAGTTTCCTAGGATGGCAGTGTAATTATTGGAGTTTTATCTGTCTGAGTAGATTGAGATATTATTTCACGCTGCATTCCAACATGTATTGCACACATGTGACTTCTATTTATTGAGCATTGAGGACTGAAACATCTGTTGAAAGTCAAAAGGGTTAAACATGAGACGTTTTTAGCCTTTTCTCCATCTGCTTGATTGATTTACCATGCTCAATTACAAAAGTGGCACAGCCCAGCTCCAATCCTCAGGAGGCCATTGGATCTAGTTTATGATGCCTGTCCCCCTTAACACACTTACACAGAGAACATCAAAGACAAGTAGGACGGCAGGGTTTGAAGGTAAATCAGATTTGAATCAGTTATGAACAGCTGAGTTTTTTTAATTAGGCTACCTCTTTATTCACAGAAAATGTAACTGTGTTCAACTTTCACAGCTGGATATCATTTAAAAAATCATTGCAGCATCACAACATGTTTAATCTGCACTTTTAACTCTCACATTTTGCAAATCATCCAAAAACATTTGCGAAAGTACAGATCTACCCAATCAATATCAGCTGCACTTATCGGCCCAATAAAAGCTGTGGGAACTCTACCAAGGCTTGGATTGAACAAAGTCCACCGCAACTTTTAACAAGCCTTTAACAAACACATGGTTGTAATTACGATAGGAAGCACTAAAGATGTCATATGATTCCTGAATGACAGGAATACAGCCAAGTTAACAGTGGAACGATACAAATTGCAATTAAAGATAGCCAATTTTATGATATATTACGATTAAGTTTCACTATAGCGAAAAATAAGTAATTGCAGTGGAATTAGATACTTGCATAGTACTCGCATTCTCTCAGATTGTATTCATTATTCAATCAATTTGAAACCTATTACTGTGTTGATTTACATGAAATTGTCCTTCACTGAAAGAGCTCACATTATCATGAGAAGGCATCAACACAATGTTTCTAGTAAGGCTCATGGTACACTCTACACGTATTTCTAATTCAATTCATGTCTGCCTTTTATTTTGCTGGCTTAAGGCTGCCTGCCATTAACACTGAATTTATTTGACAACCACAGGAGTGAGTTTCTTTATGAAATGAAGCACCAGAATCACAAAGCAGACTTGTTACATTTCACTTAATGAATGTTCCAAAAACCCCAAATTATGTTTATCTAACTGAGAGGGAAAAGGGCAAAATGGCTCACACCTATATCTACAAATGTGATGCCATGACTCAAATGTTACCATAAAATAAGCTTATTAGTTCATAATAAGAACCAAGCAGTGTTTTACCCTTGTAAAATGCTATTAGAAGCAGGGTCCACAGTCCACTGATACATTCAAGGTGCTGTGGAAACTACAGCGTCAGGCTGCTAATGAACAGCAGCTCTAATGGAGAAAGCAAATGAATATGTTTGTTTACCATTTTAAATTTGTGACAGTCAAGGTTGTGAAAATGTGGCGGCTCACATTCAAGTTTAAAATGTCCAGAGTAACATAAATGCACCACACACAGACACAGCTTTTTTTTATACTTGTACAGTATGTCTCCTTTCTCTGAATCTGAACATGTTCATGACTCGTGGTATCACACATCCTCCGTCAGATGCTAAGCCTTTATACAAAACTCAAACACGGGGTTAATGCTTGGCCACTGCATTTGTTTGAAAGGTGACTCAGCAGCCTCTAATGGCCAGCACACACTCAAACCCTGCATACTTGCTGTCTCTCAGGCTGCTTCTTAGTGTCTCTCATTGGTGTAATAGAGAATAGCCATTAAAACCCAGAGGTGGAAATGTTTTAGAGAAATTGTTGTCCTCAATATTCTAAGGCTTTTAAATTATGTTTCTTATTTTAAATGCTGCACTGTTCTGCTTTGCCTGTTTAAAAAATAGAATGTGGCTATTTTGTATGGCTGACTGTTGTGATTCACACCATTTATGGTGGGGCAACAACTACTACTTGTCAGGAGGTTAATGTAATAGTTAGTTATAGCTGGACATAGCGGGGTTGGAAAGCAGGCGGTGACGGGTTCAGCCAGACTTTGGTGCTACAATTTTAAAAGTGCACCAAATGATAATAAAAGAGACAAAAAGACTGTTCACACTGTACACTGTTCTTCTGTAGGTTATTGTATTTTATCAAAAGTTTAGTCTTGAGTGTGGTTTGGTTAAGTGCTTGAGAGACTAATTTGGCAAAAAAATACTTTTATGTTATACAATTCAAGGCCTTACAATAGGGAGTTAAGGTAACGCTGGAATGCAGCACACATCTTTTGGACATTGACATGTCGAAACACACACTCAAAGGTGAGTGGTGAGGTAGAAGTTGGAACTTTCAGCTGCTCTGCCAAGATTCTCAATGAACCAAAGAGAAATCACACCTCCGTTTTTCACACCCAAACAGTCCCTGTCACCACTGAGCAGGGAGATGTTGTTCTTGGTCTCTCAGCAGACCAGGCCAACTGGCTGAGAGGAAAGGAACCAGCACATAATATTATGTGTGTCTGAGTGCATGGGTGACTGAGTATATACTGTATGTTTGTGTGCATGGACTGTATCTGTGTGTAATGTATACATGTGTGTGTTTTCCCAGATAGGATGTTGTGTACAAAAGGGCATTATTTAACTTTTTACCTTAATAAAAACTCCATACATTCATATTGTATTTTAAAATGTTTTTAGAAGATTTTATTACCTCAATTTAGCCAAATCTACATTTTGACTATGCTAGCACTACATTCAAACACTGCAGTAATGCATTTTGCAGTAGCTTGCTGTTACCTGTAGTTCAACTACATTCATATGTGCATAGTGGTTCAAACAGTTAATAACTTATTTTTGTGTTTTCATGTACTCAAACTACCATTTTGGCCCAGGCTTATTTTAGTTTTTGGTTTATCTATGACCTGAAAATAGGTGTTCACTTTTTGAAATTAACTCAATTGAGTTCAGTTCAAACATTTTGGTTGCACTTTGTTGGCAATCTTTTTGGATAAGATTGGTTACATTTTGAATAACCTGTTGATAATCTTTTACGAAGTACTTATATTTAAACACACAATTTTTCTCCCTTGATTAACTTTGCTGTCATACTTTTTCGAATGCTTTCAAAGTAGATTGACCAACACTTATAATTCTACTTTTTCTCTCAGGCACTGGGGAAAGTGGGAAGAGCACATTCATCAAACAGATGAGGATTATCCACGGCACCGGGTATTCTGATGAAGACAAAAGGAGTTTTACTAAACTGGTCTATCAGAACATATTCACATCCATGCAGTCCATGATCCGAGCCTCGGAGACGCTCAAGGTGCCCTACAAATACGAGCTCAACAAGGTAAATGAGATCCTCTAGCTCAGGCCATTTCAAATTCCTCAACTGAAATAACGATTGTTGTGAGTCCTGTAAATAATCGTTTGGGATAAAATACACTACAAAGTGGCCGCAATGCCCTTGTATATTTTTAGAGTGCAGTCTATCTTATTTGGAACAGCCATCCATTATCGTTTCCTGTCCCTTTTGACACTTCCTGTGTCCTTACAGCACTCCAGCCCTTCATTGCACCCTTTGTGTATTTGTGTTGTGCGTTTCAGTGCACTCAAATCTATGAGGGCAGATATACACTCAAATACACATTTGAGACCTTCCTTACACTACTCAGCCAAAATTGATCTCACTTTTCCTTAAATATTCTGTCAGCAGGTCCTTTTATTTCCTACTTTTCACCCTTTTAATCATAGTTTTGGGAGCGGTTACAGTAACCAGTACTCACAGTTTAGTCCCTGTGAGTGACAGGGGAAAGTTGAGCATAGTCGTCAGCAACTCTGCAACTTTCTTCATTTATTTATTTTATAAATCAGATCATTTGAGGTGACAGCTGACCACACTACTTCAGCTTCTCCCCACCTGGCCACAGTCCAGTCACATCGCTCGTTGAAAGGTTTTGTAGGGATTTTATTACGAGGGCCTGATAAATAATTGAGTATATTTTAATGTGATATCCTGAAGTCAGATTATAATCCTAGGATGTTGGGAACAGGACACAGTCAAATTCTTTATTGATATTCACAGAAAAAGGGAGATAGAAATGTACTATTCAAGATGATACCAATATTGAATATATATATAATAATATTTGAAATTGCTGATATTATAACTGTATGGGAATATTTTGGTGTGTTAGGGTTGATTTGCTCACACCTTCAGCACTGGGGCTTTTAAATGGCGCCGCATCTTGGATTTAACTCGATTAGTCACTTTTTGATTCTCGGGTGTGGCGGGGTCATTGTCCATGTGAGCTTTCGTTTCCCATCCGACATGCTTATGAAGAATGAAACTGAATGTGCTGTTTCAGCAAACGTGTCTCACACACTTGTCTCAATATAAACCAAGCACATCCCTCAAATAATCAAATACATAAACATTTTTTTGTACAGTTCAGTACTCAAAAAAAGTAAAAACATATGACAATGCCTGTAATACTTTATACCCAACATCCCTCTGCCTTCATAAACATGGGGCTAAAATGGGAAGTTTTATACCTCTGACAAAGGAATAGACTGACAATACTAAGGAAGTGAAATTGAAACCTGTTGATCATGTTTACACTGGCTATGTCCGTGCACTTATCTGCATATCCTGTTTTATATGACATCTTAATGTTCACTTTATGATGATCTTTTATATTTATATTTGTTTATTGTTTTAATTAGTGCAGTAGGCGAAATAGAAAGAATTTCAGGATTCATGCACATGTTGATCTACCTTCATGGGACACAGGAGAATTAAATGGGAATCTGGGGCGGAAAAACGTTTCACTTAATTGCCCCGGTGGGATTTGGGCCTCAGATTTGAGATCTAGGCTGAGCCTGGGGGTGTAGAGTTATTCCAGGTTATTGAATATGTGAGTGAGTGAGATAATTGGACTACAAAACTTGATTGTTTTTGATAGGCACTGTTTTTAGACTATCAGAAAAGATTTAAGTTTTGGTAAATAAAGAATGACCTTTTAGTTTGGTGTTGTTAAGTAAAGATGTGTGTCTCAGAAAGTCATGTCAGTTTTTGTTCTTTTTCCTCCAGGGCCATGCCAACCTTGTGAAAGAGGTGGACGTAGAAAAGATAGGCATGTTCGAGAATCCCTACATAGATGCAATCAAAAGCTTATGGAATGACCCAGGCATCCAGGAGTGCTACGATCGAAGGAGGGAATACCAACTCTCAGACTCCACTAAATAGTGAGTATAGTCTGAACAAACTGAGGCTAATAAAATATCTCACAGCAGACTTTTTGAAATAAGATAAATCTGAAATACAAAACTTCCCAGCAGCCACTACTGTTATCAGGATCAATATCTAATTAGGTTTCACTTGCAATACATGTGCCTTGTTGGTGCATACATAAACAAATTAAGATAATTTAAAATTGAAAGATCCAATTTAATATTGAAAAATATATACAGTATATTAAAAAATAAGTTTCAAAAATGTGTACAAGAAACATATATTCTGGAGGGTTTCCGTGATGATAAATAAATGATTAATTTCCTTAATCTGTGACCATAGTTACCTGAACGCGTTGGACCGGATTTCGCTGCCGTCCTACCTCCCCACCCAGCAGGATGTGTTGAGGGTTCGAGTCCCAACCACGGGAATCATTGAATACCCGTTTGACCTGCAGAGTGTCATATTCAGGTCAGTCAGGAGATGTATTCAGAATCAGAAATAATATATGGCCCTTGTGTAGAAAGCTTAACAACAACAACAACAACAACTGATGTTTATCAGTACAACTGTTCAAGTTAAATTATTGCTTTCACTAATCCAAAAAATCTAACATTCCCAAACTTTTACATTAAAAAAGGAAAATAGCGTTCTTTTTACCCAACTAAATGTACCTGATTTAATTGTATTGACATAAACAAATTGATATATAAGCGCAATAACGCTGTTTTATCTCTATTGTGAGATGTTTACATTTTATAATTGTTTACTTCTACCCTTTTAATTTATCTTATGTGCAATGCCTTGTCTTTTTTATGCTGCTGCAACACAAACATTTCCCAAATTGCGATCAATAAAGTACATCTTATCTTATCTTTATCTTATAAGCTCGTAAAATATCAATTACACCAATACAGCCAACTTAAAGCTTTGTAATAGCAGCGGGCTGAGCTTTTGATTCTTCAGTATATATCACAGCAAATTCCCCACTTATGTAATATCAGAAGTAGTACTCGTACTACCTGTTTGTTAGGCAAATATCTTTCCTTAAAGTGGACCTATCATGCTATATTTGAATAATATAGTGTAGGACCATACCTATATAAGGCATATTTATACTTTTTATTTTTCAAAATACCAAACAGATCATGCGTTTTAGCCATTCCTCATTTCGCTCAATTTAACACTGTCTTTGCATGGGCTGATTCTGTGAGAGCAGCACCATCTACAGGCCTGGCATATGTACTACAGCGTCTTTCGAACGGCAATGTCCGTGGCTGTCTCCTCCTGATTGGAGGAGTTGTCCCAATAGCCGTAGCGCCACTTCTGTGACGTCACAGAAGTGTTCAAATCTGTTTCAGTCTGTATCAGATCCGTTGCAGCCCCTTTTTAAGAGATTTGGGTATGGAGGAAAATAGAGAGGGTTGTGTTTTCTGACACTGGTGAGTTCCCTGAACACCGGGGGGGACACATTACTCATGTATGAAAGTAACGTACAAAAGTGCATTTGCATGATAGTCACTTTAAAGTGTTGGAGAGAATCAAACAATTAGCACACATTTTGCTTCAGTGTTTTCTCTGTCCTGGGCGGTTGCTGCCATGGTCAGGATGGTGGGATGGGAGTCAGAGGTCGGAGAGGAGGAAGTGGATCCAGCTGCTTTGAGAACGTCACCTCCATCATGTCCTGGTGCGGCTCAGCGAGTAGGCGACCAGGTGTGGTGGGAATCAGACAATGAGGTGAATAATGAAAACACACCACACACACCACACACACACACACACACACACCCACACACACACACACACAACACGAACACACCACGGAAAGTTAAAACCTTGAGCTAAAATGTTTTGTTTTGGGGATCTAATTTCACCTTTCAAAAACATCTAGTAAATCCACTTTAGTATTGCATCGTGAAGTGTGGAAGTTGAGTTCCTCTGATGAGCGAAAAGTCTACGTCCTTATTTAAACAATGGAATCAGATTTCCTCCGGCCTGGCCGGCCCTCCACCTTTTCCCTTGGAAATAGCATTTTGTATAATGATCAAGCCAGCTGTTGAATACCGCCCGGGCCAAATCACCTTCTTAAGGTGGATATCGCAGTGTTGTGGTTTGTTAAAGTGTATTATATGGAGCAGCTGTGCGTCATTATTTGAGGTCTCTGTTTTTGGTCCTCTGTGTTTGGCCCATGTGTTTCCTTCCCTTTTTACTGCAAGCCCTGTAAGTAGTGCAGAAAGAAGAAGACATCAGAGGAGGTGCGCGCGAGCGGGTAACATGTATTGTTTAGTAATTATACTGGGATAATTCTTATATACTCTAAGTACCGGCAATTTGATATCTAAGCTTGGCTCATTCAGAACGGTTGTTTAGTTCAATTAGACACAGAATTAAAGTGCAAGGCCGAAATGAAACTGCTTAAAGGCCGCG